ACGACGTACTACTAGTGTGTGTGTGTGTGTGTGTGTGTGTGTGTGTGTGTGTGTGTGTGTGTGTGTGTGTGTGTGTGTGTGTGTGTGTGTGTGTGTGTGTGTGTGTGTGTGTGTGTGTATTTGTGTAACCCGCTTATAATTTTTGAACGGCTTGACCAATTGGAATAATCTAAGCGGGGTTCCAAAGAGTTCCACCAAACTTAGATTTCCTGAAAATTTGAACCGATTCGGACTAGTAGATTTTGAGAAATCTCAAAAATAAAAAAAATTTGAAAAACTGTTTTTTTGGAATAACTTTTTAACGGCTTTACCGATCGATTCCAAAAACTATCAGCTCTTAACCTTGAAAAACCACGTCGATCGTCGCCGGCGTGATTGATTAATTCGTGAGATATCGTTGTCGAAAAAATTCGAAAAAAGTGTTTTTTTTTAACATAACTCCGATATTTCTTTTCGGATCGTTTTTGATGTAATGATATAACTATACGAGCTCATAAAACCACGGCGATCTTATCCAAGAACATCGAAATCGGTTAATTGGTTCGTGAGTTATCGTTGTCGAACAAATTCGGAAAAAGTGAATTTTTCAAATTTCTCCAAAATTTTTGGTCTGATCAATTTGTGTTGAAAAGTAAATCATAAGATTCGCAAAACTGCGTCGAATGCTGCGAACCTCGTAAAAATCGGTTTATTCATTCAAAAGTAATTGCAGTTTGGAAATTTTAAGAATAATGTTTTATTAATCTCCTATCAGGCTTTTGAGCTCTTCGAGCTCAAAAGCATAAAACTGCTAACTCTTTGAGCTCGGGGAGCTCAAAATAACACATAAATTGTAATTTTGAGTTCGAAGAGCTCAAAAACGTCATAAGTACAATTTTAAGCACTTAGGTATGGAATTAGCGGGACGTTGCAGGGATGACCTTCAGGCTCAACCGTTTTCCTAATTTTTTTTTTTCAATTAAAATGAAATTGCAAGTGTCAATCAATAACTAGGACAGTGTCAATAACTGGGTCTTTTCCCTTGCATGATGTATGGGTAAAAAACAAAAAATGAATAAAATAAGAAAAACAATTTTTTCAATGAAAAATAAAATAATCAGAAATTATTAAAAAAAAAAAAAAAGCTGATGGAAAAAATTTTTACTTGAAAAAACAACCGCTACTAACCTAGAGGCGAGTTAACTGTACAGAAGGAACATGCCCAAGAAGGTAAATGTCTAAATATATTATAGTCAATATTGAAGAAAATGTCAGTTTAATTTTTCACACAGAGAAATAAATTCTCGACTTGAGGATAAATTTTCTTGGCTTAAGAAAATGTCAAGGAAAACTAAAAAATTTCTTGATTGACATCAAAATTTTTTGTGCTAAGAAATTTTTTATGATCCAAAATAACTTGGGTCTTCCTTAAAATTTTCTTGGCGCGAGAAATTCTTTTTTTCTGTTCATTAATTAAAATTAAACGATGCCGTGTTAAATAGTCATTAAAAATACCAAAACCATCTAAGATAACACGAATCTCTTACAAAAGATTAATAAAAAATATGATTTATTTTTCTCAAGTTACCGTATCTTAATTCGGCTGCCCAATTTTAAAACACAGTAACTGCAAAATTTTTATACCTGATTTTTTTTTAGTATTGCTGCATTTTTTATAACTTTTAGACCTTAATTTCAAGTATTTTTTCTTAAAAATATTTATATTCAAGTATTTTCTATTCATAAGTCAAATTTTTCATCAATTTGGCGGGTAAACTTTTTTTTAATAAGAAAAATTGGAAAAAATTTTGAAATGTTAGTTACTGTGTTTTGAAATTGGGCAGCCGGATTATCTTGATGATCTTGAATATCAAAAATTCAAGTCCTTTTCGATTCTTTGATAAGAAAATTTTTTAGATTTTTTTCATAAATTTTTCGTTTCCATCACTCTAAAAGTTATCCAAGCAGTCATCCAATTTCTAAGCTCAGGGAACAAAAACAAATTAAGAATCTTATCCTTAAGCTTGAAGACCTTAATCGTTAGCAAGTATCTATGATTTTAGCGTTTTTATTTCAAATTATACGGAAGTTCCGGAAATAGTCTGCAGGGTCAACCGCTTTCCAGATTTGGAACTTCTAACCATGAAAATCAATAAAGTTCTCATCAGATCAAGGTTCTCATCAGATCTTGACTTTTCGAGGATCTAAGAAGAATTCTGACGTTTCTCACAATACAGTTTTTTTGAGCTTTACATTTTGTTCGTACCTCGCGATACCTAGGTTCTGAAATGTCGTAACCCATAAAATTTGACAATTTCACTTTTTTTCAAAAATAAAATCTTAATAATTTCATGCAGCTTATGTTGAGATCTAAAGATTAAATCGTTGAATAAATATTTTCAAATACATATTATAATCCGTCAAATCGTATCTAACTATTGATATTATTAAACCATTTTTATCATCTGGTAATCAATGTTGTTTTGTAAGCTTAAGATCTGATTAGATTTTGAAAGTGATACAGCAGTTTAGAAGTTACTCAAAAAAAAAAAATGTTTTTAAATCTCTCAAAATCTATCAGGCATAATCAATTCACATTTCTATGGAATCTAAGTTTGGGGAGGCCTTTACGAATGTTTTTTCGAATATTATTATTTAAAAAATATTATTAGTTAAAAATTACAGCACTATGCATAAGAAATGATGGTCGGTTAATTTGCCACATTCCGATCGTTATTTTATAATGCATCGGTACGGCTTCTACGTGAAATTAATACTTTAAAAGTGTCATTTACATCTTTCAATGATCAGAAGTGCTTGACAATTTGAATTATTCTTGATTTTATAGTAACATTTGAAGTCTTATTTTTATATCAACTGACATTCTTACATATTAAATAATAAACTATTCAAACAACTATAAACTATTAGACTGAGAGATTCAATATATAAAGATTGTTAAGATTTTTAACAGAAAAACATTCAATATTTTATTGGAACATTTGAAAAAAAACTTTTTTTTGCCACAACGGTAAGAAAATTTTTATTGTGCACTTCTGCATCTATGCTCGAAAATAGAAAATTTTACATTTTTCGAGCTTTCTGAATTCTAAGAATTCAAATTCTGGAAGTTATTTAATTTGAAGAAAACAAATAAAAAAAATTTCAAACCGTGAAATATTTTGAATAAGTTGATTAATTATCATAAGATTCGCGATTTTTAACTCTTGTTTTAGCATAGAAGAATAATGCAATTTCAAAAGTCGATCTGACTAGAAATTCGAGAGTTGTTAAATAAAAAAAACTCTTTTTCGATCATTTTTCTTCAGCGATATCTCAATTTAATTAGCCGATAGTGACCCAGTTAAAAAATTTGACATTCTTTTAGTGTTCAAGTTTTGAAATTATTCAACTTATATCAATATTTCTCATTGATTCGTATTTGAACAAGAAGCCTATTTAGTTTTCAGGATTAAGAGAAAAATTTCAAAATTCATTAGAAGAAGAATTGAATCAAAATGACTAAATTTATAGTAACAACTCAAGTTTTCAGAGAATATTTCTTTTAATTTAGTTTTTTACATTAAAAAACAACCACTAAGTTTAAAAAAAAAATAGACGGATTCATTATTTACTATAAATGATTTTATTTAGTGAAACGGACCATATGTTTTTTATAAAAATATTTCTTTATTCACACTTTTAAGGAAATCCTTTCGCTCCAGTTGAGTCAAAACAATTGTAGTAGTCAATATACGATAAATTAAAATAAAAAAACAAAATTAAAAAGCTTTTTCTTGAAAATTGACCAACATTTCTGTAATATTACAATGCGTGTTAGGTTTATACAAGAAGATTGTAAAATTACAATACATCTTAGTAGATTTCCTGACAGGGTGTTGGAAAATTACATGAATTGTATTTTATTTAGCATTGCTATACACTGATTTGTAATTTTACAAAAATTTTTAACAGTGTGTAAATAAATAAATTAGTTTGAATTTATTAAATGGTCTGGAGCTCGCGCGCTACGCAACGTTGCCAAATTTTTTGACTCCATTTTAACGTAGGTTGCTTGAGAATTTTTTGTGATTTTTAATTATTAATTTCTCAATAAATATCTCGGTAACTTATATATTTTATTGCAAAAAAAGAAACCTGAATATTTTGAAAATCTAATTTTTAGTTTTTTTTTTTTACTTCATCTAATCCATGGCTGATAGTATAATTCGAGAAATACTGCAAACGTCTGACTTTCTCGTAAGACTTTGAACAAATACTAACATTTAAAAATTTTATTTTTTCAAAAATTTGTCCGGTAAAGTATAATTTAAACCTCACTATTAGATAAATAAGGACCTTAACTATTAGAAAAAAATTGAATTTACTCATAATCTAATATTTTTTATTTTACATTGGCGGCGAAAGGACCTCCTTAAACTTCGATCAACTATCACAAAAACGTAGTACTTGACGCGTACCACAACGCTCTAATTTAAAACTTTTAAATCAGCTGTTAAAAAAATATTATTATTTAAAACAACTTCTTACCAGCGGATACGTCTTGTTGGTCAGAAGTAGGTTGGGCTGGGGCCATTATTTGTTCAACAAGCTCCCATTTAGCATTTAAATGGTCGACTCGCCATGCAACTTCATCTCGAAGAGAAGGAGTGCGAGCCACAAGTTTTGCTGCTTGTTCGTTGAATAATCGTCGTCGATAAGCCTTACGTCGAAGCTCCTCCATGTGAGCCTGAAGAAGCAGAATTTTTTATAGTTTTAATTCGACGAATCATACTAAAAACGTTCTTCTGTATCATAATTATCTTTAAATTAGTGAAATCTTAAGTTAAAATCATAGAGTGATGACTTCTATATTATTGAAAAATTTATATTCATAATAAATTTACTCACAGCGCGAAGACTTTTATCTAGAAGATTTTCTTCTTTAGAATAAACCATTTCTTGTAAAATACCCAGCCAAGTATATAACTCCGAAAATTGACAGCTTACTTCTTTCAAGCCCCATGATAATGTTGAAACATCACCTTCATCCCAAATGAGCTCTCCATTAGCTTCCTGATAATGAAAATGAATTTTTCAAATTAAACAAACATTTTTAAGTTTAGTACGATTAAATTTATTTTCAACTTTGACTTAATAGTATATTACGTACCTAGGCCAATAAAGTAAGAAATGTCTCAGATCACATGTTTGTCAACTTCAGCTTCGCCTCGGCCAACAATTACATGTGATCTGAGACTTTTCTTATTTTACTGGCCTAGGTATGTAATATACTATTTCTGTTCGACGGAGCCAGAAAGCGGCAACTTCGTTTAGCACAGCGGTCCAAAAGTTGGCGCTTTCTAGCTGGAGGACAAAAAATAATGATAAATTTGATTTCTTACTTTACAGCTATCAATAAGATTTGTATCCATAATGTAATCATAATTAGATCGAATGGCAGCCCAAAAATCATCTTTACAGTCGTCTCGGTTAATCCAACTCCGTTTGTGATATTCTTGATTAGGATCTTTTCTGTAATTATAACAAATTTATTATAACTAAGCACTTTATTTTACAAAAAAAAAAAAATCCCTGATAAATTTTAAATAAGGTTTGTGATAATAAGTTCTCGTTTTTTTTTTTCTTTTTAAATAATTTTTAATTTCCTGCTAACGAAATTGAAAACTATTAAAATTAAAGGAGTTATTGTTTTGAGGTCCCAAAAAACCATTATGAATATTTTTGCAAGAATTTCGTTGTGTGCGTGTATTTTACTTGACTGATTTGGATCCGTTTCACAGGATGCGAAAGTCTTACTGGATTAAAATTTCTTTAAAATTCGAACTCAATCGGTCAAATAAATTGAAGAACAAATTAAAAAAAAAAAGTATAAGTATTATCAATAAAAAAAAATTATAAGCAAGGCGTTGTCATCATAATACAGTATGTTAACAATTCACTTTCGTTTATTTCTATAATATGTAATAATTAAATTACATTTCAATTTTTAGTTAAAAATAATTATTTTTTAATTAGTAATGAAGTTTATAAAAAAGATTAATGTCAACGAATACTCGACAAATATGCGCATTACGACATAATTTAAAAACAACTCAAATATATGATACAAATAATTGTTAAATAGTTATGATCCAATTTGCTGAGTTGAAATTTGTAATGTAAATACGAAGATATTTACAACATTTAACGGCTGTAGATTCTGTAATAAGTGCGCATCGAATTATACGGATGAAACCAAGATGTACATTTGATCAAAACTGTGTACAATATGAAAACGTATTAACTTGAATAGATACTAGCAACACGTTGAGGAAATTAGTATTCAATTCAACTCAAGTGTGAGTGGTTTTCCATTACTTGACAAACCGATAACCGATGAATCCAATTCATCTGTTAATATTAAAAATGTAAAGATTGATTTTCTCAGCCAATTATAGGATATTTTTATAGTCTGAAAAAGTTTCCTGATTAATTGCTCTTAGACTGATCTTTCGGAGATAATTAATTCTTAAGTTAAATTATTTTATTTTTGTCAATGTTCATTGCTATTTAATATTTATTTACCTTTTCTTAGTGAGACTGTTGTATGGTCTATTAACTTTCCTTTTTGCTAATTCTGAACTTTCAAGGTTCTCGCTTGAGCGTTGCAATGAAGAACACGAGAAGCTCATCTTCATTGATTTAAACTCTAAAAAAAAAATAAGATAATAAATTTTAATTTTCATTTGAGTAAATACTTCTGAACTAATATGATTATTGATAATAATTACAATTAGACTTATTCTAGTCTTTACTTTTTTTTAGAATTACACCTGGTAGTATTTCAAAAATTATATATGCTAGTTTATTTATTCTGTTTGTTACTACACGTGTAAATATTTATAAATATTAATTTATGATAATTTATCTATCCTCATAATTAGTTACCTTTAGACTCAATCAACACAGATACAATCTATTTGTTAATAAGATATAAGAATACAAATTGAATAGTGAATCTATAGCTTGCTTATACCGTATATATAATTATTCATTTAATAATAAAATTTAATACTTACCGCTGTTAGATATCATTTCCATGTTTTCCCAACTATCTTTTTCAGAACTCCATCATTCCTAACCTAATTCCACCTATAAATGTATAAGAATAAAATTTATTTCTTTAATTGATTATAAATTTAAGTTATAAATTAATTATGATACGATGATACACTGAAATATTCAAATATATTTTTATAGACTGAAAATGACTCACATGAGCTTACGACGAACAAAAAGATATCAGAAAACTAGTCGGTCTCTACAAGTTAGTCATCGTCAATTCTTATGGCCCAGATGCTCCCAAGAATCTCTAAAAAAACAAAACGATAGAATTCTATCTTTAAGATCCCCTCTTATACAGTATAACTAGAAAATTTAGATGAAGAAAATAATAAGATAAAGAATAAAATGAGTTGCATACTTTCATTACATCCATAATTGCACCTGTAGCATTAAATTTTTCATTCTGACTGTCATGTCGCTTGGTTATAAATGCAAATAAAAAAAAATGTGTAAACCAGATAACCCTGAAAAATCATGGCGCCGAGAATTGTCGCGGGATATTCTTTCGGAAAAAAGATAATCAATTCATATCATACCGAATAAATATAATTTTTTGAAATAATGATTCCATCGAAAGTTGAGTATTTAATAAAACGTCAGCATTTATGAATTTTAAATAAATCTATACCTCAGGTAAGTAATAAAACGTGACACACCTGTGATAGCTCACTGAACATAAGCATCAATAAAATAATTTAGGATTTCTTTCATTATTTACTTACCATTCCTGATTTTTTAATGTGACTTGGAGCACATCTCCGTGGACGTAGTCCACGTCTCATCGTTATTTATCAACATAACCTTACTATCAACGACACCCACTAAGATAATGTGTACGCAGAACAACTGCTACAGCTACATTAGGATTTTTTTTCTCCAGAACGCCTGCTAACGAACACCACTCCTTATTTAATGTATCTATCACATACTTGTTTCACTATTGCCTTGCGCATGCGCTACTTTTCAACCATCAGAAATCTACCAATTTGAAATATTACAGTACATATTTGGGGACTAACTCTGCAACTGAAGTCTTGCGAATATTTGTGAAATTAAATTAAAATAACTTAGTGTTTCGTCCATATATTTACGAGTCATTCCATCGAATAAAATCATTGTTACCGGACGACCGGTAATTATTTAAAATTTAGACTTCTACAATATGAGTTCAACAACGATTGAATTGATAAATTTTAATCAACAAATAGTAAAAAAACATCATTCTTAGCCCAAAATCAATTTTACAAAATTAAAAAATTGTTCACCACTTGAATTATTTACATATTATTTAGATTTTACGGGTTGAAAATAAATGGTGACTTATTGAAAAAATCTAGAGTAATATCATCATAAAAGGTAAAATACAGCTGGCACATTTTATTAGTTTGTAATCGAATAGAAAAAATAGCACAACCCAAAAATATCTTACTCTGTGTAAAAAAATTCTCAAAATTCAGTAAAAAAAAATTAGGAAAACGGTTGACCCTGATGGCCATCCCTGCAACTTCCCGCTACTTTCGTAATTAAGCGCTCAAAATTGCACTTATTACGTTTTTGAGCTCTTCGAGCTCAAAAGTTTGGTAGAAGTTTAATACAACACTACTTTTTGAACTTTCAAACCGCCATAACTTTTAAATGAATAAACCGATATCCACGCGGTTGGTGGCATTCAACACAGTTTTTTGAATTCTATGATATATTTTTAAACACCAATTGATCAGACCGGACATTTCGGTGTAATTCGAAAAAAACACTTTTTTCGATTTCTTTCGTCAACGATAACTCACGAACGAATCAACCGATTTTGACCAGCTTGGTGGCGATCGGCGTGGTTTTTCGATGTTAAGAGCTGATTAGTTTTTGGAATTGATCGGTCAAGCCGCCTGAAAGTTATTAAAAAAAACAACATTTGAAAAAATTTTTTTTCGCAGTTTTTTGAAGATTTCTCAAAATCTATCGGTCCGAATCGGTCCAACTTGTATTTCAAACCTAAGTTTAGTTGAACCCTTTCGAATGGCACCAACCGCGATCAAATCGGTCAAGCCGTTCAAAAGTTATGAGAGGTTTACATACATACATACACACACACACACACACATCCATACATACATACGACATACAGACACCATCGCGGGAATAGTCAGGGAAGCTTCCTAGGACCTCAAAGCGTCGAGATCTGATGAAAACTCGATTTTCAAAAAACGGGGTAAAACCAATAACTTCCCGATTTTTGAAAAATTTCAATTTTCTTAGCGGGAAGTTAAAAATATCAAAATTTATTCGTCTGACACCGCACAGTCAGAAAAATGGCATAGTCTAGTTTAATCGCATTTTTAAAGGTCTTCAGTTACTTGTAGTGGAAAATCGACAGTTCCATCGGAAAGCTGAGGATTTTTCATTTAAGATTAGTATTGTTGATATTTTTATCACATAAAAATTGTTGGAGCTTAAAAAAAAAAAAATATGAGAAAATCGAAAAGTGGCAAAATAAAAAAAATTATTACTTCAAGAAACGACTTGGTATTTAAGTCCCAAATTTTTAGGAAGTTCATTTTTTCAAAAAAAAAATACTTCCTCTAAATTTAAAAAAGATCAGTTGAAGTCACTCTATAACAATGATTTTATTTTGCAGAATAACCCCTGTAATACTAATATGTAAATATATTAATCTGCAGAGTTTTTCATCTTTATTCCGTTAACTAATTTATTAAATTTTATTTTGAGATTTAATTTTCTATGACATATAGAGAGTGTTCTAACTTAACTGATAGGCTAACTGATTAATTTTAAATCATAATATATATATATATATATATATATATATATATATATATATA